TCTTGGGAGATTCTAAAGGGAAAAGTTCCCAGAGATTGGGGGGATGAATTTTGAAAGGGTGTGAAAAAGGGAAAAAAATTTAAAGGGAAACAGGAAAGGTAAGGTTATGGGGAAAAAACAAAAAGATTAGGTGATGAAAGTTTGAATATCAGATTGGAGGGAGGGTATGGAGGGGGTTTGAACGTATTCGGAAAAAATTTGGGGGGGGATTTGTCAGCGGTTTGGGCCCTAGGGAAAGAGGGGTGAATCATAAAATTTGATGGGGGGAAAAGAGTGAGTGGTGCCCCTTAGGAGTTTTGTGGAGACAAAAAACCCTTTGCCCTTTGGGAGGCAAAGGGGGGAATTTGTATAAAGGAGTATAGTTTTACCAACGCTTTATATGGGGTAAGCCCTGGGTGATGAATGGCAGCGAGGAGAAGGCTGGAGGCAGTGGAGATGGGCATGTCTGAGGGCAATGTTTGGGGGGGGGGGGGGGGGGGGGGGGGGGGGGGGGGGGGGGGGGGGGGGGGGGGGGGGGGGGGGGGGGGGGGGGGGGGGGGGGAAAGGGGGGGGGGGGGTTTAAAGGCGGGGTTTTTTTGGTTGGAGGGGTTTGGGGGGGTTTCCAAACATTGCCGGGGGGTTTTAAATTTTTGGGGGGTTGGGAAAGAGGAAAATGGAAAAAAAATACTTTGGGGGGGGGGGCCCGGGGGGGGGGGGGGGGCTTTGGCTTGGGCCGGGGGGAAGGTTTTGGGGCAAAGGTTTTTTTAAATTTTTATTTTAAAAAAAAGGGATTCAGGGAAAACCCGGGGGGGGCCGGGCTGAGTCCCGGGATGGAAGTACAGTTCCTTTCCCCTCTGAAGGAGGGGTGTTAATGTTTCATTTTAAAAAAGTAGTGTAAAGAAACCCTTTTTTTTGGTTTAAACATTTATGGGGTGAAATGATGGTTTAAAGTTTTTTTTTTGGGCCACCCTGCCCTTTGGGGGGAATCGGGGGTGTGATAAAAAAAAAAAAAATATATATATATAATAAATTAAAATATTTATAAAAATTTTATATATAATAAAATTTTTTTATATATTTAAATTTTAAATATATATATATAAATTTTTATTTTATAAAATATATTATATATATATATTATATATGTATATATTAATATATATATATATATATTATATTTATATATATGATTGAGTAAGAGGGGAAAGGGACAAGAGGAAGGTGGCAAAAACAAGTAAAAAGGGAGGGTGAAAGTGTATAAACCCAAGGGAAAGGGGGAAATTGGGCAGTATAAGCGACTATTTGGGAAAAGGGGGGAGTCAAAATTAGGGGGGGGGTTGAAAGGGTTGGAAAAGTTTTAAAAGCAAAAAATTAGTGTGGGGGCCCCGAAAGGGGGTTTTTTGGAGGGGGGGGCAGGAGGGAAAAAGGAGTGATTTTTTTGGAAACATAAGTAAATGTGAAAAAAGAAAAAGGTAGCTTATGAGAGGTTTTTAAAAGCCCAAAAAGTTTTAAGAAGAGCAAAATTTGGGGGAGTAAAAAAAAGGGGAAGGAAATGGGGAGAGACCCAAAAAGGGGAGCAGAAGAAAAAAGTGGGAGAGGCACTGTCAAAAATTATATGAAAAAAGAAAAAAATTTTTTGGGGTTAGTTAAACAATTTTAAAAAAGCCCAAGGGGAAAAATGGGGTTTTCCCGTTAAAAAAAAAGAATTGGGGGGTTAGTAAAAGGGGGGGAGGGGGGGTTTAGGAGAAAGGCGAGAAAATTTTTAGGAACTTTTAAATTTTTTTAAAGGAAAAAAGGGAGCGGGAATTTCCCTGCACTGGCCCGGGAGGTAAACCATCTTTTTTTGGAGTGAGAAAAACAGAATTTTAAATGTGGTGGAGGGTTTGTGAGGGTTTTCGTAAATGAAAAGGGGGTTTAAAGGGAGCTGGGAATGATGGGGTCATGACCAAAAAGTTAAAACAGGGGGGGATATGTGTTGGAGTGGTTTGGTTTTTTTGTTTAATAAATGTATGAAAGAGGGAAGGTACCTAGGGATTGGCGGAGAGCATGTATAGTCCCTTTATATAAAGAGAAAGGGGACAAAAGAGATTGTAAAAATTATAGAGAATAAGTTTACTGAGTATACCAGGAAAAGTTAACGGTAGGGTTATAATGAAAGAATTAGAGGTAAGACAGAATGTAGAATTGCGGACGAGCAAGGAGGCTTCAGAGTGGGTAGGGGATGTGTGATCAAGTGTTTACATTGAAACATATATGGTGAACAGTATTTAGATAAGGTAGGGAAGTTTTTATTGCATTTATGGATTTAAAAAGGCAAAGATAGAGTGGATAGAGGAGCAATGTGGCAGATGTTGCAAGTATATGGAATAGGTGGTAAGTTACTAAATGCTGTAAAGAGCTTTTAAAGAGGATAGTGGAGGCTCAGTTTTGGGTGTGTAGAAAGAGGGAGAATACTTCCCGGGAAAAGTAGGTCTTAGACAGGGATGTGTAATGTCACCATGGTTGTTTAATATATTTATAGATGGGGTTGTAAAAGAAGTAAATGCTAGGTTTCGGAGAGGGTGGGATTAAATTATGGGGATCAAATTCAAAATGGGGAAATTGGACACAGTTACTTTTGCCCGAGAACGTGCTTATGGGAGATTCTAAAGAAAAATTACAAAGGTTAGTGGGTGAGTTTGAGAATGTGTGTAAGGTAGAAAGTTGAAAAATGAACATAGAAAAGAGTAAGGTGAAAGAGGGTATCAAATGATTTAGATAAAGAAAAATTGGATATCAAATGGGGGGGAGGAGTATGGAAGAAGTGAATGTTTTTCAGATACTTGGGAGTTGACGTGTCGGCGGATGGATTTTTGAAGGATGAGGTTAATCATAGAATTGATGAGGGAAAAAAGGTGAGTGTGCGTTGAGGTATATGTGGAGTCAAAAAACGTTATCTATGGAGGCAAAGAAGGGAATGTATGAAAGTATAGTAGTACCAACACTCTATATGGATGTGAAGCTTGGGTGGTAAATGCAGCAGCGAGGAGACGGTTGGAGGCAGTGGAGATGTCCTGTCTAAGGCAATGTGTGGTGTAAATATTATGCAGAAAATTCGGAGTGTGGAAATTAGGAGAAGGTGTGGAGTTAATAAAAGCATTAGTCAGAGGGTAGAAGAGGGGTGTTGAGGTGGTTTGGTCATTTAGAGAGAATGGATCAAAGTAGAATGACATGGAAAGCATATAAATCTATAGGGAAGGAAAGAGGGGTAGGGTCGTCCTCGAAAGGGTTGGAAAGAGGGGGTAAAGGAGGTTTTGTGGGTAAGGGGCTTGGACTTCCAGCAAGCGTGCGTGAGCGTGTTAGATAGGAGTGAATGGAGACGAATGATACTTGGGACCTGACGATCTGTTGGAGTGTGAGCAGGGAAATATTTAGTGAAGGGATTCAGGGAAACCGTTTATTTTCATATAGTCGGACTTGAGTCCTGGAAATGGGAAGTACAATGCCTGCACTTTAAAGGAGGGGTTTGGGATATTGGCAGTTTGGAGGATATGTTGTGTATCTTTATATGTGTATGCTTCTAGACTGTTGTATTCTGAGCACCTCTGCAAAAACAGTGATAATGTGCGTGTGGTGAAAGTGTTGAATGATGATGAAAGTATTTTCTTTTTGGGATTTTCTTTCTTTTTGGGTCACCCTGCCTCGGTGGAGACGGCCGACTTGTTGAAATATATATATATATTATATATATATATATAATATTATATATTAAATATATTATATATATATATAATATATAAATATTATATATATATATATATATAATATATATATATATATTATATATATATATATATATATATATATATAATATTATATATATATATATATATATATAATATATATATATATAATATATATATATTATAATATATTAATATATATAATATATATATAATATATATATATATATATATATATATATTATATATTACATATATATAATTTATATAATATATATATATATATATATATATATATATAATTTATATATATATATAAATTTTATATATATATATATATATATTTATATATATATATAATATATATATATATATATATATATATATTTATATATATATATTTATATATATATATTTATATATATACGTATAATTTATATATATATATTATATATATATATATATATAAATATATATATATATATATATATATATATATATAATATATATAATAATATATATATATATATATATTGTATACTGTATAGACAAAATCTAACAGGAAGTAAAAATAATAAAATAACTAAGTATACTACATAAATAAATTCAATAAGGAGATAGATAAGTCAAGAGTGAATAAAATCTAGTAAGTTCATAATTAAGGCAGTAATGTCAAGGAAGTTTACTACATTTTGAATACAAAATAACAATGGGCTGTTGTTAAGTTTTAATTTTATATTAGCAAAATGATTTCCATATTATTATTTATGGATGTATACAGAGCATCCACATTTATTTATGAAGTGGTTTGCCAAGTTAATATCCTTTAAGGCATAAAGTTTTGCCATTGCAAACCAATCCAAACACAACGTCGAAGGTTTGGAAGGGTTAGCTTAACTTGTGGGTTAAATTTGACTTACTATGACCACTGCCTCTGAGCAAAAACTGCCCATTGTAAAACAAGCAAATAAATTAAAAGCCCTTAACTCAGTGATGCATTCAGTCAAAATACAATGTGCAATAAAAATCCCAAAATGAATGAATATGAAAAACAGGTATAGTAGATTTTAGTGGAAAAAGATCCTTTACTCACAAGGCTCCTCAACCACCTAGAAAACCAGAGAGATGTGCCCTTGAAAATTCCTAGGATAAAACTCAAGAGGAAACCAAATAAAATTTAACCGACTAAATAGTTCCAAAAGATATTTCACACAGCTGAGCTGATAACTATGTGATTTAATGAAGGCATAACATGAGACACCAATGACTGCACTCAGTCTATTAGTAACAAGTGTGTACCTCTGACTTGCTGTTCGAGCGACATTATAACATCAACTGCCATGTTGAGAATGCCCAGCTTAGTCTGGGGCTTGTCAGTTTTCAGATGTGTCATGCACATCCTCCCCAGTTCCTTGAGAGCGTCGTTTATGTCACGGATTCTGATCCTGGTGGATGAAAGAACAGGTGATGGTGTGTTAGTGCTATTAGTTAGTGGGTGGGTAAGAACCCCAAGCTGGGAATATATCTACCCTACCCAACACTCATATCCATCCACCCATGCCACACCACAACCACTTTTGATCTTTCTTGCTGTCTATTTGTAAAAACAAATGCTCACTGTTCAAGTGAAGCTGTGATATGATGGATGTGGTAGTGGACTGGGAGGAGGGGTGAGGGTTGGTAAGGGCAGTGTAGCCCCCAGGGGTAGGGTCAGCATGGGAGGCTTACCTCTAACCTGCTGCTCCAGAGTGGTGATCACCTCCACTGCCATGTGCAAAATGTTTAGCTTGGTCTGCGCCTTATCATTCTTACAATGGATCATACACATACGACCTAATTCCTTAAATGCTTCATTTATATCACGAACTCGTACTCTGAAAGGCAAAACCGTAAATGTCATCATCATTGATAACCAAGGGATTTCAGATGTGAAGTGCTTGAATGCACTTCACGAAATCATGAAGCACGCAAAGGTTTAAGGGTGTATTTAGTTACAGACCATCTGCGTATGTAAGATAGTAGCCCCTTCATATCTAGGTTATTTGGTAGTTACAATTAATGAGCACATTTACGGTTTCCAATCTTACTCTTGACAAAAATTCAGTACTGAAATTTTAACAGACTTACATAACTATAAATCTGGAAGTGAAACTTATACAGTATTAATATAAATACACACCAGGTTATGTATGTAAATAAAGTAAATTATGGCTACACCCAATATGAAGGGGAAATGTAAATACAAGCAAAAGCAAATAAAGAATTCAAAACAAAGGAAAAAGAACTACAAGATGAAATCATAATTTTAAATTAAAAGAAATGCACAGAATGTCCAAATTATAAAGTGATGAATGGAAAAATTAAGTCTCTAGCTGGCCAAATATTTACTTTTAAATAAAGAGAAATTATAATGACAGTCCATATTGGGGACAAAGGTATCAAAAAAAATATGCATTACCTTAATGACAGTAATTCTTTTAGTGTCAATATTATATGTTCTTCACTTCCTGAAAAGGAATTTTTCCAAGAAGAATTATCAGTCAAGCAGCACTCACAGTGACACACGCAGAACCTTCCCTAAGCACTCAAGTCACATTTTCCAATATTCTAGTAATGATGAAGGTATTAGATGAAAAAATATGTATAATATTGTTGAAGTGATTACTATACTGGTGAAGCAACTGTAATGTACCTAAATAAATCATACTTGATCTACATGGCGTTACCTTCATGAAAAACAAGGTTAGACTCTATAACTCCACCCGGTAGATCATCAGATGCAGCATTCTCCACCTGACCTCAACATTCTGAACATGACTATAAATACTCCCGTACCTTCCACCCCAGGTAGATCTGTGTGTGACTTGAAAAAGCCCACTGTGTGGGTGAAACGTTGTCAATAAAGGATCACATTATACTGCATATGTGTTTATATTTCCACTGTGTCGGTATTTGATACCATTTATTTCCAAGGTTATACTTGAAAACAAAGGTTTGATTCATTACTAATGAATGAATGAATGAATATGTGTGTGTGTGGTGTGTGTGTGTGTGTGTGTGTGTGTGTGTGTGTGTGTGGTGTGTGTGTGTGTGTGTGTGTGTGTGTGTGTGTGTGTGTGGTGTGTGTGTGTGTTGTGTGTGTGTGTGGTGTGTGTGTGTGTGTGTGTGTGTGTGTGTGTGTGTGTGTGTGTGGTGTGTGTGTGTGTGTGTGTGTGTGTGTGTGTGTGTGTGTGTGTGTGTGTGTGTGTGTGTGTGTGTGTAGCAAATTATGAACATCTGTCTCTGAATTCACTACCTAACAGTTACAGGTGATCACTATTCCCCAAAATTGCAAAAGATAAAAATTAATTAGAACTTGTACATTAGGCTAAGCAACCATTATGTATAAAATGAAATGAATATATACAAGTAAACTAAAAAAGTTGAACTGTAACTAGACCAGACAAAATAATGAATGTTATGAGAGCACAAATTTTTTGTCTAGACAAACCCCATAAATGTATCTATTGCTCAGTGATGTCCCATTTGTGTATTCTTTAACAAATGTATAGTACTGAAAGTGGAAGACTGGTAATGCTATATGCCTTCCCATTAAAAATTGTGGATTATAAAATGTTTGCTTATAAAATTCATCATTACCATTACTCTATCTATTGTCAGGGAGGCACTCATCCAGTAAGGATATAAAAGTACTGTAAGAATACTGAAAATCACTCAATATTTCATGATACCTTCCACAATTAGTAGCATTTCAGAAAACTATTGCCACTACATGCAAGTATTTTCTTTTTAACCACATCAACCAAATCCCACAAAGGTAAGGTGACCCAAACACATTGACAGTCACCATCACTATTTCTCTAGCTCTCTTTCCAGAAGTTCACAGACACTGCATTGCAAATAATCCACCAAACTGCAATATCCTCACCCATCTTCAATGCACAGAACTGTGCTTCCCACTTCTGAAATGCAAAAATGGCTAACTGGATTCTATGAATCCCTTTACATATTGCACCTTGTTCATACTCAAACAGCAAAGCAAATTTCAAACACCATTTGTCTCCACTCAATCAAACATACCATGTCCAAGCAAGACTGACAGATGTTCAAGCCTCTATCATTTCAAACACTTTTACATCCCTCTTTCTAATCCTTTCTGAGAAGTTCCCCACACCTTACAAGCTGCCCAAATTTATATACCCTCTTGGTCAAACTATCTTGCTCCACCCTTTCTAAATAACTAAACCATCTCCACAATCTCTCCTCTCTCTGCATAATATATTCACAGCATATACTGATCTCAAAAACAAGATCTTAGTCAAAGAGCAATCCTCACACCCATATAAAAGCATTGATGCCACCAGCTCTTTCTCTGCATTCTCCTTATCTGATATTATGCGTGCTTGCATGTAAAAATATTTCAGCAAGTGAAAACAAGTGCTTTGGCATCTCTTTGTTTTGAAGGCTCTTGTTATCCATCTTATCATTTTTCTTGCAGGCACTGATTGTAAAACTGTAGTGATCTATGAACTTAATAACTTTTGCCATTATTACTCCTTGTCCTTTACATACTTGCTCCACTTTATCAAGCAGTTTAAGTGTGTTTTATTATCTGTTCTGAGCTTTATTTCTTAAATCTTTCCATAACAAAATAACTGAAATCTGCAAATAATAATAGTGCTATGATTTGTGTGACTGAAATCTGCAAAGAATGATAGCACTATGATTTGTGTGTCTATGCTGAATATGAGAATGAAAGATGACTAGGGCAAGTACTGTGCTTTGAGAAACAGCTCTACACTTTGGCAGCTTCTGATTTTGCTTTGTTTAGGTTTGATTTTTTAGAAAATTAACATTTTATCTGCTTATTTTTCTATTTATTCCTTTTGTATGTATTGTGTGCTTTTACACTAAGATCACAATTTTCAGACTTTTGTAATGTTGATATATTACATTGGCATTTTGTTTGTCTTGATGCATTAGAAGACAATATTATAATTGTCCAGCAATTATGAAGCAGGAGAAACCTGCTCTCAACCCATGTTGCTTTGTGATGTGTAAATGTTTAGATCCACACTGTATTTAGCAATCTTACTTCTTAACAGTTTCGAGAATTTAGATGTGTAATATCAGTGCTATTGATCTACAGTTTTTAAGAAACTGTTTTACTTCCACCAATGGGCTAAATGTTTTCTTTAGTGCCTGTAGTGACACTGTCTAGACTATCTTCAAAGATCTTTATGGAATATAGTATTGTAAGGGGAATTTTTTGACAAAGTTACACAAATCTAAGCATGGAGTATAGCGCATGGGCATGATATCAATAGCTTCCTTAAAGTTGAGAAGTATTAGGAATATCTCAGAAATTTTTTGAGTTGATAAAGTTTAGTCTCTCCATGCATGAAAAACACATTTGGGATGTCAATTTGAATTGTCTATAAGAATTATATTGTTTACGACCCATGGTATTTTATGGATCAGGGGTTAATACTATCATGCTTTACCCATGACTCAAGAAATCGTAATGACACGATTGCAAACAAACCATACCCCCGGCCGGGATTGAACCCGCGGTCATAGAGTCTCAAAACTCCAGCCCGTCGCGTTAGCCACTAGTGGCTAACGCGACGGGCTGGAGTTTTGAGACTCTATGACCGCGGGTTCAATCCCAGCCGGGGGTATGGTATGCTTTACCCATGAATGAGAAGGTACTCAGGCCCACCATAAGCTCTGCTACTTGTGGTGTGGCTGATCCCCTATTTACTTATCAACTAAAAAAGATATTATCGGCCTGTTATGTACATATCATAAATAAACATTGTACAGACAATATTAAACAGTGAAATCTGCAAGGTCTCAGATATTTTCTGGGAATAAAGCTAAAGAAAATTCAAATAAATGTAAACAAGCCAAAATTTTTGAAAACCTTCCTCTTATATATGTATAAGGGTGTGAAGAATAGGTGGTGAATGTTGTAACAAGGAGAAGGCTGGAGGCAGTGGAGATGTTGGGTCTGAGGGCAATGTGTGGTGTGAATATTATGCAGAAAATCCATAGCTTGGAGATTAGGAGGTGGTCCTTGGTTTCTAAAAGTATTCCAGAGGGCTGAGGAGGGGGTTGTTGAGATGGTTTGGACATTTAGAAATGGAACAAAATATAATGACTTGAAGGGTGTATAAAGCTGTAGTGGAAGGAAGGCAGGGTAGAGGTTGTCCTAGGAATGGTTGGAGAGAGGGGGATAAAGGAGGTTTTGTATGAGTAGGATTTAGACTTCCAGCAGGCATGCATGAGCATGTTAGATAGGAGAGAGTGGAGGTAAATGGCTTTTGACTTGATGTGCTGTTGAAGTGTGAGCAAAGTAACATTTATGAAGGGACTCATGGAAACCCAGTAGCCAGATTTAAGTCCTGGAGGTGGGAAGTACAGTGCCTGTGCTTTGAAGGAG